AGTGAGATAGATCCTGATGAGGTTCCCAAATTACAATTTTATTAACTCAGTCCAATCACCGTCAATATTAAAGAAGAAAAAATCAAAAGTGATTACGTTCACTCGTCGACAAAAACGATTTAATCGTCCTTATGAAACGAAGCGTCAAAAATCTTCAGCGTAACCAGAAGTCAAAGACAAAAACGAGACAACCTCATAAACGAATGGGGGTCTTTGTTGCTTCATCCTTGTAATTTTATATCACAATCGCCAGGTTTTGTGGCTTGTGAAGATGATTCTTGCTTTTTCCCATTAAGACGATGGGACCCTTAAGCTATTTTCATCAAAATTGTTCCGCTACCGTGTCTTTTCTCTCTCCCAACCAAACTTTAAATAACGAATTTATAAAATAAACCGACCGAAATTTATGATTTCGCCCTACTGTATCAAACAAAAGCACCAAACAATAAGTTCCTTGTAACAGTACACGATTTCGAATTATGAGATTCTAAATTGTGAGAAACTGGAGCTTATGAAAAGGTTCTCTCGCTTTTAAAACAAAGTTATTTCGGTCAAAAGCGATTGCTTATTTACTTATCCTTTCAATTTCAAAAGACAATAACTTGCGATTTCAAAAATTTTAAACAATAGGGCACGAATTTACGAAAAGGTTAAAAGTTACACGTCTTCAAATTCCAAGCCGCAAGCAATGTAGATGCCTCAATTATTTTGCTATTAAGAGTGATTTAGTGAAAAAGGGACGCGCATAAAAAGATCATAAACGTAATTAACCGAGAACAATACAAGTTTTTACTCCAGAAAACATTCCCACCACCAAAAAATGATAAATTCCTATCTGTCTTCTTCTCTTACTAGAACTGCTTACATTCAAATCCGTAAAATAATATAAAGTTTATGATTTTATTAGTCATTAAATTGTTAAAGTGTAAAACAAGATTTAACGTCGACTATAATAACGGCAGTGGGTGTAAGTGAATATTAATGTCTTTTATGTCGTCATTTGTACACAAGACTGATAGAACTGATCGTATTAGCCGTTCGAAGTAGAGAATTTTTAACAATTTTTCTCGTTTTCCTCTCATAACTCACTTTAAGCACACAGTCTTACTCTGTAATAAGTGCTCCAACGTTCTTAAAAATGAAAAGGGTTCCGAAACTGATCTTATAAAAACCTCGTTTATCTTAATTAGTTTGTCGATTTCTAGAGTTCTAAAATATATTGAAGCTCAGAAACGTGTTCGTTAGATGAACCGATTCTAGCTCAACTCCGCAACAACTCAAACACTGACGTTGACCCAGTTGATAAAGTTTGAATAGGAAATGATGACCAAAATAATTTTCCATATCAAGATTGTAAAAGCAGTCAAATTTTTTTTGAAAATTTGTCCCGACTCTCATTACATCGAATAAGGGACGGGCGATTTGCACTTTCGGGGTTCGATGCAAATGATCGTCATGTTCGTCGACACAAACAGAGATAATTAGCATAAATAACTATTCCTCTGCCCCTTTCGTTGGAACCGGCGTGTATTCAGCTCACGTCCGACATTATGAGCGATAAGTAACCGTCGGTTATTAACCGTTTGACAAATGTCCATCGATTAACCGAAAAGCGGGGGGCTGATCGATTAGGGGATGCTCCGCGGTCCACTTGAGACAGGTAAATTACCGCCCGTTCAAAGAAGTTATCAATTCGCTGTCAAAGAGTAATTGGTCGAAGAGTGAGTTTGCAGACAGGCGTAGGCGGCGAGCATTATTATGCGACAACCGCTAGCCATCATGAGTGATTGCGGCTACTTTGTTTGCAGGCAGCACGAAGTAATTACGTATTCATTTAGAACGAACATAAAGACTTAAACGATCGTTTAGTTCGGCATTAGGGGAGTAAAAATTGCCAAAAAGTCGAAAAGTTTCCAACTCTCCGACTCTTTGTCTCGACGAAGAGTTCAATAAACCGTTTCAGTAGGTGGATACGTTCTAATCCACACATTCACGACCAAAAACAAATACAAAGTCGACGACAGTTTAAATTAAAACTAACTGTTTATGGCAGAGATGCTACAGGACAATGAGTGCAAAAATCCACGTTTTAAAACCTATTTACTTTACTTAATTGCATTCCTATCATGCATGAATGGGCTCGGACAACGATGCTACCTTTTTCAAGAATAATTGCATATTTGATAAATTATTGCTCTGTTGCAAGTGTTTTAAAACCAGCTTTTTCTCCCTTTTTATTGCACTATCGACTATCTAACATCTTACAAACATGTAAACAAATATTGTTACCATATCGATCATATATTTGAAATTTATTGCAGCAAAATTTTATTACACGTATAAACTCCCACATGTTGAACGACTGACAACACCACAAAATGAAATTTATACCCCATGAGTGTGTTAAAATTACATAAACATTGTACAAATTTACGTCCTTCAAAATTAGTATGTTGCACAAGTAAAATGGGGCTATTTTCCGATGTAGTGTCGTGTCGTAGGGTCAAATTTAGCTCAATAAAAACAATTTGTCGAGTAAATCAGATATAATTGCAATGTGTGTTCGCCTTTCGCGGGCAAACCAAATTAGTCCTCTATTCAACGGGTGTACAATCGCATACGTGCCGAAATCCAATTATTAATTTAATCATAATACTGGAATTATAAAATATTTACCGCTCGACTGCCCCATATTTCACCAACAAAGCATTATTAAATAACGATAACCGTAAATAAAGCTTATTCTAAAATAATAGCAGCGGTTTAAAGAAATAACAATCCGCAGCAATTTAGCATTTTGCAAAGTGGAAAGAATCAGCAGTTCGTAATTGTGATTTATGCTATTTACTATGGCTTGCTACGTGAATAATGGACTAATACTAATTTATTGTTGGCCGTGTATGCAAATCACATAATAAGATTATCGTTTATGGTCCGTATACCAGCGGCAGATGTATAGAAACCAACTGAAACTCTTTTTGAATTATGTTCGATTATTATTAAATTTCCTTTCGCAGCAGTCGAGGAAAATTCACCACCGAAATCCGACGCAATCCTTATATTAATCACGTCACTTACATCCTACCTTTTATTGTAACAAATCTTGGCGAATTTCGTTCCGTTGGAGTTTTCAGTAGAGTGCCGAAATAATAACAATATAAAGGTCGAAAGATGAAGACGCGAGATAATATTCCTGCTGCGTCATTTGATAATTACACGAGAATTTTATTTATAAAGAAGTACAAGAACCAAACGTGTGTCATCACAACACAACATCAACGCTTCACAGAACGAAATCAAAAGACAAAACTTTAGAAACTGAACAATCAAAAATTTTCTAAATTTCATCACACACTTCCTCGAAAAAAGACCATTATGCCCACATGCCAGCATCAAAAATCTAAGCCAATTTATTCTTCATTTCGCATTCTTTCATCATGAAAGTAGTAATTTGTCAGATGTTAACAACAAATTGAATATGGAAGCGAGTAATGTCTATACCGCCATGTCTTTTGACAGTTTTTCTTATTCTTGCCGGAACAAAACATGAAAACCGTTTCAAGACCCTTTATTATAAATCCATTACGACAATAACAAAAGATAAATCCTAGTCTTTGTTCTATTACCAGATGAGAACGTGTAGTAAGTACACAACTAGCAAAAAATTCAAGTTTTTGTTTCGGAGGAATTAACAAATTTTTGCAAGATGTCTTGAAATATAAATGTGTTTCTTTCTTCTCATTTTTTTAAATATAATCTTATGTCTGCCATCTGGGAAGTATAATAACGTCGGAGTGGGTAATAAACATGCTACCTCGTCGGACATGTGATACGAGAGTCATCGCTATTCAGAAACACGAACATTTGATGTATTGTATCAATTAAAATGAAATTAGTTGTGTGGCGTATTAGCCACAATATGGGCAGCACTGGGCCATGTCTATCGCACTTCACCATCGTTTCATTTATGTTTATTACAACACTTGGCGAATGCCGAACAATGCGATTGGAATCTTGACGGTTCCTACGCCTCGTCACTGTTTCTGAGCATTTTTTTATTAATTCTTCTACAAGAAAACCGCATCCTCTTTGATTGAGTTACAACACCTATGATTTAATATAAACCGCCCGAACACCTCTGCTCGCCATTCAATCAAATCCTACCTGTTTGTGTATACCTTCTAAATCGAGAAAAATGTCCGACACATCCAACTATCCAATCACGTCGCTGTCTCCTTCCATTAGATATTTCGTAAGTCGACTAATAAATGTCACGCCTATCTTCGATCGAAACAAGGGCTGTAAATTTTTATAGAGAAATAGGATACATACGATATATCGTCCAAGTCCCTTTATAATGGCAATTCGATACATCAGCTCCATGTCGAATAAAAGCCTCGACTTTTTAATCGAAATTTACCCATCAGCTAACCAACTAGACCATATGGCGAACAGAAAGGGCACACCGACACAATCAAAAGAACCGAAAAAGGTCGAGGATCAGGTAATAAAAAGCTCAGTTTGTTTGCGCTTTCGCAATTAACATTTTAATTAGCTATGATTAATAGTAGCCTACAAATTGGTCCCTTTCAATTTTCTTTTGAGAAATTTTCATTTTATATTCAACTAATTGCCTCATGCCGGGGCACTCATTAAACAGATACCCTTCACTAACTTCGTTAAATAACTTTTCTAAACTTTTACAGAACGTTCCTCTTTATTACAATCAATAGGTCTAACCGTCACATCGCCAAAAACCGTAAAGCGACGCAATTAAATCAACAAATGGACAAGATTTGCAAATTATTCTTTATTATCACTAACCTTCTTTCCGAAAACCCAGCTTTAAATTATCGAAAATGACCGATAATACCTACATAGTCAGCGATAATTTGACAATTATACAATCAACACTCATGCACTAAAATAATCTATAATTGTTATATAATTACACAGTTTTGAGACATAAGTATGTAGTACTTACTACGCATATGGAAAAAATGGTGAAAACAATATTTGGTTTTTTTATTCTTTTCCTCTTAAAAGTAGTTAACGGTGACCCTAAAATCGACTATTACAAAAATTTAATAAACATCTATAAAGAAACTTCAGAATCGTATAAATTGCGACAGAACAATTCCGAATTCAAACAAGGATTTTATTCTTCCGAAATCAAAGGTAAAAATAAAACTCTCGTGATCATCACCAAACCATACATTGCAGACTTTGGAAATTTCGATTTTATTATTGTGGGTGCTGGAGCTGCCGGTAGCGTTCTTGCGACAAGGCTTTCCGAAATCTCTGAATGGAGTATCCTTGTTTTAGAAGCAGGGGGTGAAGAAACAGATTTTTCCAAAATCCCAAATTTGCTGAAATACGTACAAATGAGTGAAGTAAATTGGGGTTATTTATCAGTACCACAAAGAAATGCCTGCTTGGCTATGGTGAATCAACAGTGTATGGCAATACGTGGTAAATCAATCGGAGGCAGTACCGCACTGAACGGATTGATGTATGTTAGAGGTAATCCTGAAGATTACAACAAATGGGCTCAATTAGGTAACCCTGGATGGTCATATAATGACGTCTTGCCTTATTTCATAAAATCGGAAAATTCGCAAATCGATGGTGATCCTAGTTTTCACGGCAAAGGCGGTTTGTGGAATGTTGAGTACGCTTATCCTCATTCTGAGATACTTCCAATTTTTTTTGAAGCGTGTGAAGAATTACAAATACCACTACTTGACTTTAATGGTTATAAGCAAATGGGAGTAACCAAGACCCAAATAAATAATTTAAATGGTAGAAGACACAGCTGTGGAGAGGCTTTTTTGGATTATTCTCGTCACAGAACTAACGTACAAGTTGTCACAAATGCTCTAGCAACTCAAATAATTATCGATAAAAAAGCTGCTCAAGGAGTTATATTTGTCAAAGACGATCAAAAATTTCAAGCAAATGCTAATTTAGAAGTGATTGTTTCTGCAGGAGCGTTCAACACTCCCCAGTTGTTGATGCTGTCAGGGATTGGTCCTAAAGACCACTTACGAGAAATGGGAATTGAAATAATTGAAGATTTACCAGTGGGACAAAATTTGTTAGAACATCCCATGTTTCCGGGTATGATATATCAATCTAATTATACCCTCGGCGATATGAGTATGGATGAGCAAATTAAACAATATTTGAAAGGTTTAGGACCTCTCACCAACCCAGGAAACGTCGATGCTATCGGTTTTACAAACGAACAAGATGGAATCCCGACGGTAGAGTATATGTTTATTCCGCCAAATAGTACGTCTAATAATATGATGCAAATTCTTAACTACGATCACCAACTCATGACTTCGTATTTTGATCAAATAGATCCGAAATCAGTTTTTCGTTTTCATTTAATTCTACTCCATGAAAAATCCCGAGGACAAATTAAATTAAAATCAAATAATCCGATCGATTTCCCCGATATCGATTATAATTTATTTGACGAAGATAAAGATATTGACAATATAATTGACGGTATCAACTTTATTCGAAATTTGACTCAAACTAAAGCATTTAGAAAACTCAATGCCACTCTCATTGATAAATATCCGTTCTGTACAGATCTTGACAAGTACTCGAGGCAGTATTGGGAATGTCTTATTCGCTACATGAGTCAAACCATGTACCATCCATGTGGAACAACAACGATGGGTCCTGATAGAAAAACCGCTGTTGTCGATAGTCAGTTAAAAGTTCACGGAGTGGAAAAATTAAGAGTAGTAGACGCAGGAGTTATACCGTTGACAGTTTCTGGACACACAGCTGCAGTAACAGTAATGATAGCAGAAAAAATTTCAGATGTTATCAAAGCTTTTTATGTCTGAAATGAAATAATAATTTTAATATTTTGTGAATAAAGATTCCACAGTCGTAACAATAGTTTAATTTTTTTGTTCATTTTTTTAATTTAATTTTGTAATTTTGTTCATTGTTGTAAGCTCTCTTTAATTTGTTTATGTATTAAGTATATGTATATTTAAATACACCTAATGCAAATTAAAAATGATAAGACACAAAGCAGTTATAAAAAGTCGCTTTTTTATTCATATCTTTAGTATAAAAATGTGGGCCGCATTAAGTGTGTTGTTGGTAATACTGCGAAAAATTATTAACAGTGACTAAATACTTAGTAAATAAAGAATTCTACAGTCGCAACAATTGTTTAATTTTTTAAATTCTTTTTATTGTTGTAAGCCGACTTCAAATATACCGAATACATAAACAAATTGAAAATGATAAGACACAAAGAAGTTTTAAGAAGTCGCTTTTTATGCACACCTTTAGTAAAAATGTGGGCCACATTAAGTGTGTTACTTGTAATATTGCCAAAAATTATCAACAGTGACCCGGCTGTAGATTTCTATAAAAAAGTAATAAACGAAAATGTAGCAAAAGTTGAAAATTACAAGTTACCAAAAAATAACGCCGAATTTATAAATGGGTCACAAGCAACAGAAATCAAAGGTAAAAATTTTAAATATTTCTATCCCCACTTAATCGACATTTTAGATTTTGGTGGTTATGATTTTATCATAATTGGTGCTGGTTCTGCTGGTAGCGTTCTTGCAACCAGACTTTCGGAAAATGAAAATTTTAAAATTCTGCTTTTAGAAGCAGGAGGAGATGAAAATGATTTTAGCACAATTCCATCAATGTGGGTCAACTTGCAAATGAGCAATATTAATTGGGGTTATCTTACCACACCTCAGAAAAATTGTTGTCTTGGTAATTAATGTCAAAGCATATTTATAATACTTTATAATAATATAAGTATTTTATTTATTTTTTAAGGAATGAAAAATAGACAGTGTCTGGAGCCTCGTGGCAAAGCAATCGGTGGTAGTAGCACAATAAACGCAATAGCGTATGTGAGAGGTAATCCCGAAGATTACAACAAATGGGATCGACTAGGAAACCCTGGATGGTCATACAAGGAAGTTCTTCCCTATTTTCTAAAGTCGGAAAATTCTCAAGTTGATGGTGATCCAGGTTTTCATGGAAAAGGAGGTCTTTGGAACATTCAATACTCTTTACCTCCATCCGAATTATTTTCAAACTTTTTACAAGCGAATAAAGAACTAGGTTTAGAAGCACTAGATTATAACGGCTATCGTCAAATCGGAGCATCCAAGTCGCAAACAAACATAAAACGTGGAAAGAGACAAAGTACCGGAACTGCTTTCCTAAGTTATGCTCGAGAAAGACGTAATCTAAATGTTATCACCAAAACATTAGTAACTGAAATTATTATCGACAAAAAATATAAAACTGCCGAAGGTGTTGTGTTTATCAAAGATGATCAAAAATTCAGAGCAAACGCTAATTTAGAAGTCATAGTTTCAGCAGGAGCGATAAATTCGCCACAGTTATTAATGTTATCAGGAATCGGTCCTAAAGAACACTTGGAAGGAATAGGAATCGATTTAATTGCAGATTTACCAGTTGGAAAAAATTTGTTAGAACATCCAATGTTTCCAGGTTTAGCTTTCCGAACAAATTATACAGTGTTTGCTGAAAGTTTAAACGAACAAATAAAAAGTTTTTTGAAAGGTAAAGGTCCACTATCGACTGCCGTAGAAGCTGTGGCTTTTATGGCAGGTCCAGACAATATTCCATCAATTGAATATATCTTTATGCCCCAAACTGGTACCCCATCAGCCTTTGACATGTTTAATTTCAATCAAGAACTGGAAAACACATATTTGGCTAAAATAAACTCAACCACCGATTTTAACATCTTCGTCGTTTTGCTTCATCAAAAATCCAAAGGAGAAATTCGACTAAAATCCAAAGACCCGATTGATTTTCCCGAAATTGATCTCAACTTATTTGAGAAACAAGAAGACGTCGACACTCTTATAGAAGGTATCAATTTTGTTATAAAACTGACAAAAGCACAAGCATTTCAAGATATTAATGCTACACTCATTGACATTCCGATTTGTCAAGAATATGAAAAATATTCGAAAAGTTTCTGGAACTGTGCTATTCGTCACATGAGTATGACTATGTACCATCCATGTGGAACAACAGCCATGGGTCCAAATAGTACCACTGCGGTCGTAGACAACCAACTAAGGGTATATGGAATTGAAAAATTAAGAGTTGTAGATGCTGGAGTTATGCCTTCCACAGTGTCCGGACATCTAAATGCACCCACCATTATGATAGCCGAAAAAATTTCTGATGTAATCAAAGCTACTTACAACTAATAAAACTAACTGTAAATATTATTATTTTCCCTCCTATTTATGACGTGTTAAGTTCATTTAGACACGTGTGTTATAGGGTGTGTTAAAAAACAAGGCACACAATTAATAAATAATGAAAAAGTCTCACGTATTGGATCAATATAGCCTACAGACATTCACACACGCACATTCACAAAAACGGATTATTTACCTCCCTTCTGAAGACGTGTCCTATTGATCTGAGGCCACGTTTGGCACAAAGGTCATTATTTTGACAGAAATTACGTGATTATAATCGATCGACAAAACTACCAGCCATTAAAAAGAAATAAACTCCGACATTATATTAAAAAAAAATAGTAGGACAATTTGAAAAAAACAACGCACTTGACAGAATTATTAAGCCATTTACGTGATTAGATCCATTCGGTAGTGTTAACGGTCATCTATCACGCTCTAACCTATTTATTGTAGTTGTAAATTGCATTGCATGAAGCTGTTGATAGGATTTTTGACAAATTACTTTGTTAATAATTCGCAGATGGGAAACGAATTACATTATTCGAATAAAAATTCGCTCGGTTCTATTTCGAGTGTCTCGCGTCGTGTTCTTTTGGCAAATCAATGAGTTTCATCATTTCTTTTTTCTGATGAATACGAATGATGAATGAAAATACTCGTTTTCGGTCCGGCCATAAATATAAATAATAAATTTATATTCCGATTTCATTCCGAACGAATTTATTGATAAATCTTCCCGGAATTTTTGTGCTGACACAAAAAATCATCTCCTCTTGGTATAATTAGTGTAAATTTCTAATTAGTAGCGAAATCAGAAGGTGTAACAGTGGCGGCGTGTTCAGACCTATCTGGGATCACCCGAACCTGCAATAAATCCGACCCACACTTATTGTTGTTGGAAGTTTTGACCTCGGTGGTCGGACAGGCATGTGCTATGACTTGTGTTCAGCGCTTGGCTTGATTGCGATTTATGCCTTTTCGTCTCGCGGACTACTTTTTTTCTCTAATACTGAAACGTCGATTCGATAGAAAAATGTGGGACACGTCACTACTGACTCAGAACTAATTTCGACAATAAAAATTTAAGTTCACGGTGAATAATTAATCGAAAAAAGGGGTTCCGAGTAATAACAGTTATTCTCGGTATTGTCTAAATGTGAGGAGTTGTTGAATGTTGTCTTCTTCACCTTGTTTCTTTTATCGATTATACAAAGTTGTAGCTTCGTTCCCATTTCTATAACTGTATTATAAGAGGAATAACAATAAGCCATAAAAACAGTTGTGGTGAGATTTGCGTCATATTATTTCACCGGCTTCTGGTCACTGAATAACAAACAAACGTTCGTGATTTCCGTACTCAACTGTTTTCTGATCCCATTCCCGTTCTTTCGATCCTTATATATGGGATTTTATGTACAAAGTTCTTAACCCAAACACCATATTTCCTCACGTTCTCTCGAAACAGAAAAGACAAAAATCACGACACGATCTACAAGAGCAAGTTTAATTAATTCAAACTGACCCTATAACCGCTCATTAGTTCAAGGCAATTACCTCCAAGATTACCACCATTAAAGAATTACATACACTAATTGTTGCTATTGTTACAAAAAGACCAGACTTCTTCAAATTCTCAGGAAAAAATCACCCCACCGTGACGCCGACGCCACCAACCCCCTCTCGATCCCAATATACACCACTTACTAGTCTGATATAATGACCAACAAAATCCATAAACAATCCCCATAAATGTACGACTGGTGGGAAAATGTTTGGGGATAGTTTCATGACACCACCCCGACTAATAACAAAGCCGTCACCCTAAAGTCGCCGTTTTGCCGGTTAACCAAACTTTTCGCTTTCATTACATTACAGAAGGGAGTTTTTTTGGCCGCTTTTATGATAATACGGGCAGGATTTTTACTTATCTGATATTAACATGAGCGTAAGATAATACCAACACCTCTTGACACCGTTTATGACAACTTTGCATCGCGTGATATTAATTTGGACTCATTAAACGCACGCTACTGTACTTATATTTTTTATTTATAAATTAAAAGTTTCACAAAATGTAAATATGATGCGAATAAATAAATAATCTCGAAAAGGTAATTACATAAAACTCTTTGTCCTGACTTGCTCCGTTGTTAATGTAATTTGTTTTTAAGTAAGGTAACTCCCAAGATGATGAAGTAACTTTCTCAGACAATAACGGAATGGAATAATGGGCTATAGTGTTTCTTGTACGTGTAATATCCAAGTCGTTTTCTTGTCTAAATAAGTAAAAAATGAAGTTTGAGAACTAAATATCAGCGACGTCACTTGTACACTTTTTCAAAGTCTCGCAGTTCGTGCCCCGGAAACTCGCATAGGAAATTATAACCATTTGTTAAAAGCGAGTTTTTCTTGGTGCGATACCCCAGGCTTTTTTCTGCGATTTATTAAGGTGAATTAAGAGAATTACGTCGAGTAAAAAGAACAAGAGTATTCGATGACCACGCAGATTCTAAACTTGCGTTATTATAACAGACAGGTGCAAAAATTGGAACCGTTACAATTAAGTGAATCTTTAATTTAAAAAAATCTTCACAATATTAAAGCACTGTTATTGGCACTTTGTAAATAATGCAACCCCAATCAAGTCTTCTAATGAACACAATCCCCGGGGTCTGGGAAGCAAACAAGCAACATCCCTGAAGAAGAACGAATTATAAAATAATGGCGCATGAATAATTAAAAACGTTTCGCAACGGGTCAAATGCTGCCGTCTATAAGCCAAAGTTTAAACATTCCTCGGTGAGATTTCGCTCTTGGTTGTGCGTGATTTAGCTTTGAAGCTGCGAATTTCATAAATTCCAAGAAGCTTATCAGAAACTTAGTAAAATTTCTCATTGTCTGCCTCGCGGATATTCTTCCGGGGTACGTACAACGTACCGGAACTTTGGCAAAACTTTGAATTTTGTTTATTCGCTCTCCTTTCACAAAAGAATCTCATCTCAGCTGAATCTCCATTCCGATTTAATTCATTAACTGAGAAATTGTTTCTTTTGCGGAAACTCAAACATAATTTTTAGAAAAGTATTCTTTACGAGCTTCGCCCTTGATTTCAATATTAGTTGAAAATAACAAAGCACCTGTACTGGTTGTGTGATTCGGAGAATCGAAACTGGCAATTCCCACAACACGTCCACGACATGGAACATCCAAGAGCAAACACAACCATCGTGTAAAGTAATATTTTAATTCAGTCGTGAAAAATGGGACGGACACAACCAACGACTCGCACACATTTAGACCTAGATGTCCAAGAACAACGGCGCCCACGAACCAAGCGTGATGAAATTGAACCTTTAGAAAAATAATAACCGAATGTTAGGCACTCAGAGATTGAAATCTCGAAAATAAAGCCAAGTGACGCCTTCAAGACGCATGCAATTGCAAGTTCACACCCTTAGAAAACTTTATTTTCACCATAACACACACAAATAAATACAACAATTTTGGAGAAGCATTTCGAGTGGCAAAAAACGTAAATTGTGCTCCGAGTCGCCCTCGAATCGAATATTATTCAATCACCTCTATTATCCTTCAATTTAGCAGAGAATTCGCGATGCATTTACTGAGGGATGTATTTAGTATAGACGTAGGGGACCAATCGTCGCTTCGTGCGCTTCTTTCGATGGCCCTTTGTACGTGACAGTCGTTCTTTTGTTCGTCATGAATTTATAAGGAGTGTGGGACGTTCGTAAACTATTGTGCCGCATCATTATCAGTTCTTTAGACATACACACACACATGGTTAAAATAATTTATAATTTTCGAGTGGAATACATTACACCCCACATTTTGGGAGGTACCGTGTCTACAGTTTACAAATGACCCTTATGCATTCATTCATCACTCGTCTGTACCTTATTTAGAAACAAAAACAATTGAAACAAACGCATTTGACCCGTATTATGTTAAATTTTGTTCGATATATAGTGAATTTTTTCCGAGGGTTAACGTCCCGCTGTTCTTTTCAACGTGAATTAACTATCCTTGTCAAAATTAATGCACCGCAAGGGGAACAATTACAAATGATGTACTCTTCGTCATGGATCAAAGGGTTGGATGAAAAACACTCTCGTATACTACCCCCGTTGTGTTGTGACAGCGTTCATTTTTTCTTAATTGTCTGTTAGATTAATCCAAGTCATCACGCTAACCAGGTTTCGAGTTAAATAAGATATTTCCGGTTTTTCAGCTATTGTTGCACTTGTTGAATCAGCAAATTCTTTCCTATTGTGGAACGATAATCGCACGTCTTCTGTGTATTGAAAACAACTATCGACGAGTCAAAGTTCATCGATTAAAAAAATGAAACGAAACACACACTTCGAGCTCGTAATTCAGCTAATAAATAATTGTTTTCGTCGTCTTACATGTGTCGGCAGACCCACCTAAGACGAAATAACAAAGTGTCAAGAAGTAGGTCTTTCGTTCAATTGAAGAATTGTTTCCTTTACGAATTCTAAATGTGTCAGCGACTCTAAGACACAAAGACCTTCGCGATCACCGGATCTGACTCCATTCGAAATCGAATAGACGTGTGAAATATAAATTTCACTCTCCTTATTTTTTTCCTTGATTTTCTCAAGAGCTTCCGTAATAAATTTAGCACGGACTTATGTAAATCACCTTAGGAAATTTGCTGTCCAAAGAAATAACATATAACTGTAAAAACGGGACAAACACGCAAATAAATCAAGCACAGTACCGCGCGTAATTCCCTACCAAAAATTTAAAATAGAAACACAAGTTAAGCAAAAAAGAGAGGCAACTGCTCGAAAAATTCGATTTCATCTCTACTTTTTTGATTTACGTCTAATCTCGAAAGCCCATCAAGGAACGTACCCTTCTCTCTCGAACTATTTATAGTCAAAAGATCACTTCTCGTAACATAAATCATGTGATGAATGTTTTCGGTTTGTTTGGCTGTCGCTCCGTCCCGCCCCTTTATCAAATTAAGAAACTCGAGGATTTTAATTATTTAAATTTT